TGACCATTTCTATGGCACAAATGACCGTTTCCATGGCACAAATGACCGTTTCCATGGTACAAATGACCATTTTTGTGGCACAAATGACCATTTTTATAGCGCAAATCACCATTTTTATGGCAGAAATGGCCGTTTTCGTGGTACAAATGAGCATTCTTGTGATAGAAAGTGCCATAATCATGGTACAAGTGACTGTTGCTATAGTGCAAAGTATCGTGAGTCGTGGTAAAACTGACCATTTATTTTGGCATAATTGACCATTCTTGTGTCTCAGCTCAGTTTCTACGTCGCAATCAACCATTTTTGCGGCACAGTTGATTATTCTTATCTGCGGAATGAGCGTGTCTCCATCACCACTAGCTAGATGCGTATTAGAAATTACCAGTGCTATGGGATAAATAACCATTGCTAGTCCTTAGAATCAACTAACTCATATGCTGTATCATATACATTGGCATCTTGCAATATTTTATGCAACTGTTTGAATATATCTTTAATAAGTAATATACAACATTTTGCAAATATCAATGATTTGTCCTAAACACATTATTGAACAGAATTTATTTTCATTAAAAAACATAAGGACATATGTGTCATCATTCCGTCAGTCTAGGGCTCAATGAATCGACTTTCAATGTCGATGAACCTTACTTGTCTCTTTGAGTACTATCCAGGGTAATCCTTATAACTCTTCAAGGCCTATACTATAAGGGAACCCATAGGTCCTCAAGGCCTACACTATAGAGGCAATATTAGATCCTCAAGCCCTATGCTATAAGAGAACCCTTAGGTCCTCAAATGATATACTATAGGGGTACTCTTAGGTCCTCAACAGCTATACTATAAGAGAACCCTCAGTAGGAATGCAACGGTGGCGATCATTCACCGGTATACCGTCACCGTTTCACCAGTCCAAACCGATAACTGTACGTACGGTTACCTCTCTAACTGCGGTAACCGTAGGTATGGCTACCGGTCCAACTGACATAACAGTAAGTGGGGCTATCAGTCCAAGCCCATTTTCACGAAGGAAAGAGCTTTTTAAGAAAATAACGATTTTTTATAAAGGTTGACGAGAATGAATCTGGGTCGAAGAATCCGAATCTGAAGTTAGTTTTTCGATTTGAGCTTTCATTGGTCAGAAAACGGACCAATCAGAAACGAGCTTTTTTATTTTGAGCCTTTTCCATCTTTTGATCAAACTTTGCAATAGGTTATCGATATCTAGAAATTCGAATCTGAAGTCAGTTCTTCTGTCTGAGCTTTTATTGGTCAGAAAATGGGCCAATCAGAAAAGAGCTTTTTTATAATAAGGCTTTTCGAACTTTTGATGAAACTTTGCAATAGGTTCTTGATATCCAGGGATGCGAATCAGAAATCCATTTTTCCGATTCGAGCTTTCATTAGTCCGAAAATGGACCAATCAGAAACTAGCTTTCTTCCCTCGACTGAAGGGACGGTGATATGAAATAAATAAAACTTGACATACTCAAAGCGAACACCGAAAATATTTAATTGGCTGAACTGCCTGCCTGAAGAAACTTCATATATATTTGATATTATGGATATTATCGAATCTGTAATCACGCTAACAGGTCTGAATACGCTACTGCCTCAATGACTAGGAGGTCACACACTCATTTTGTTTCATATGATCCTCCCTCTAGTGGAGGGGAAAAAGCTTGTTTCCGATTGGTCCATTTTCTGACTAATGAAAGCTTAGACAGAAAAAATGACTTCGGATTTGGATTTCTGGATATCGATAACCTATTGCAAAGTTGTATCAAAGGTTGAATAGCCTTACAATAAAAAAGCTCATTTCTGATTGGTCCATTTTCTAATCAATGAGAGCTCAGATCGAAAAAAGGACTTCAGCAGAGGTGCAGAATCTTCCAAAAATCCAAAAATTTCCCCCCACGCAAAAAAGTTTTTTGAAAAATTTCCCAACTGTATTTTTTTTTGGCCAGTGGATTTTTCCAAAATTTCCCTACTATTTGAGTTTTTCAAAAAATCCCCCCCCCCTCCCGCGTGGGGGCGCACGAGGAAGATTCTGCACCTCTGGACTTCAGATTCGAATTCCTGAATATCGCTAACCTATTGCATAGTTTTATCAAAAGGTCGAAAAGCCTTAATATAAAAAAGCTCATTTCTCATTGATCCATTTTCTGACCAATGGAAGCTCAGATTGAAAACGATAGTCTCAGATTCTCAACTTTTATAGTATAAGGGAACCCTTAGGTCCTCGAGGCTCATACTATAAGGGAACTCTTAGGTCCTCAAGCGCTATACTATAGGCTATAGTAAATGCCTTGTGAACCTCAGGGTACCCTTATAGTACAGCTGTTGACGACCTAAGGATACCTTTATAATATAGCACTTGAGGATATAAGGGTACCCCTGTAGTGATCACATGAGGACTGAGGGTTTCCTCATAGTATAGGTCTTGAGGACCTAAGGGTACCTCTATAGTATGGACCTTGAGGAGCTAAGGGTTTCCTTATAGTATAGCATTTGAGGACCTATGTGTACCCTTATAGTATAGCACTTGGGGATCTAAGGGTACCCTTATAGTATAGCTGTTGAGGACCTAGGGATGCCCGCAAGTATAGCACTTGAGGACCTACGGGTTCTCTTATAGTATAGGCCTTGAGGACCTAAGGGTACCCTTATAGTATAGCTGTTGAGGACCTAAGGGTACCCGCAAATATAGCACTTGAGAACCTATGGGTACTCCTATACAATAAGGTAT